TGACAAGGCAGGGCGAGTGAGGGGTGGTGGTACAGGCTAGTTGATTAAGAGGTGGATAAATCGGAGGGCAGTAGTCCTTGGATGGCTCGGGGGACGAGCAGGCGATGCAACAGGACGTTGAAGAGCCAGATGCAGGATCCAGCTCCGGCAGACGTTGAAGGCCAAAGAGAACTCAGCTGGGCTCCTCTCTCTTATATGCAAAAGGCCACACCCCCGGGAAGCGTCATCAGGCTGTTACCTTATGGATAGGTTGGTTCCACCCCTCCCCTTACCCAGGAGTGTCTAGCTGACGTACACACTAACCATAACACCGGACCACATAGATGAAACTCCGCAGAGTATACGTGAAATTCCAAAATTCTGAACATTTACGGAGTGATCCAGCAAAAGCAAATCTTCGGACTCAGCACGTATGAAGATTCCGCGGAGACCTTGAATCCATAGAAGATCTGAGAAAGGCATTCTATAAATGTGCTTACACGGTTCAAGAAATGAAAGATGAGCTCTAAAACTGAAGAGGAATCCAAGCCATCGAGGAAAAAAAGAAACCCACCAAGCCCAGAGAGCAGCCAGACCAGACCACGTGATCACCAGTCACCAGGTCGACACTTGCTGCCAGCACCCCTGGAAAAATCAGTAGCGTCCTTTGGCACAGGGAATGAGGGGACCAGGCCACATAAAGAGGGAACAAACGTAAAAGAAACAGTCCCTGCTTTCCAGAAATAAGCTAGAGGAGTGGAGAAGCTTTCATTCAAGATCAAATATGGAGTTTGTCACATTTTATTGGATTGAGCCTATTAATTATAAGATGAGATTATTTTGGAGTGTCTAAAAATAACCAGAAGACATTTTTTACCCTCTGAAAATGATCAGCGGCATTACAGACCCAAGAAAATATAAAGGGAGCCAAGGATGAGGTAGGAGTTGTTGGTGAAATAAAAATACTATCCCTGTATGCTCTTTTTCCAGCGTAAAGTAAATGCAAGGTTTCGTTTTAGGTATGTTGGGTGTTAGATTCCTGTTAGACCCAGAAAATATTATTACAGGACAGATGCGATGGTATGAGTCTGTACTTTTAGGCAGAAGATCTAGTTGGAAATACAAATTTGGAAATCATCACCTTTATCTGTTTATTTGGAAGCTGTGTAAATAAGTAAGACCCAGCAAAGAAATTTGGCCAATCATTCTTAAATCAGTTTCTCCTGCCAAGACTCTTTCTCCATTTGTTCCCTTTGGAACTAGTTTTCTGTACAATTCAGCTTATGTTATTGGCCAAAGCTACTAACAGCTCAAAAATAATCTCTATTTTGTCTCCACTGTGGACAATTGTTTCATAAGAGAAGCAGCTCAGGGGTCTCATTCATAGTTCCCAAATAAAAGTTGTCTTTCCTGAATCCTTCATCCCGTTACCTGCTTCTCCAAACCATTTGCAATTTATTTTATTTTTCAAATTTCGAGGTCGGGGAAACTTGAGGGGCTCTGATTCATTGGAATCAATTGGATCTTGTCGTCCTGATGAAACTTTGCCTTTGCTGGAATTTGGCGTTTATATTCATGTTCTTACCAAAGATTTGGTAAGCACCTTAAAAAAAAAAAAAAAGAGGGAATCCCACTAAACGTATCCAACTGATGGATCACAAACCTCAGATTTTCCTGGTTATTTCTATCACTTGCATAGTAACCGACACCCAACTTACTGCCATCAAGTTGATACCCGCTCACAGCATCCCTGCAGGACAGGATGGAACTGCCCCTGTGGGGCTCTAATGGTAATTCTCTATGGAAATCCAAAGCCTCATCTTTCCCCTGTGCAGCAGCTGGTGCTTTTACACGGCTGACTTCGCGGTTAGCAGCCCAACATGTAACGTCTACGCCATCAGGGCTCCTAGTAATTGTGTGATCAGGACTCTTGAAAAGAGGACCCTTCTAAAGGGCCAATTTACCTCTTTAGCCTTCTGGTTCTTTCTAGACTTTCCCTCTGCAGCGATTCTCCAGCCAATTCAGGGGCTCCCTGTGAAAGGGAATCGTGGTGGCGTTGTGGTTATGTGAACAATTACAGTCTTAGAAACTCAAAAATGGGAAATTCTACCCGATCTTACAGGGTCGCTCTCAGTATTGACTCGATGGCAGTGAGATTGGACGTCTGGTTCTGAGGGACACCACGGCCATTCCTACGTCTAAAGTGTCAGCCGGCAAAGGAAAGAAGGAAGACTACCTTGAGGGGGGAGAGCAGGGTCTCCTTTCTTTCACAGAAACTTCTCTGCAATATTTACAATGATGTAATCTCCAAGTGCCCTGGTGGTGTGGTGGTTACATGTTGGGCTGCTAACCGACAGGTCAGCAGTTCGAAACCACCAGCTGCTCCTCAGAAAAAAGATGACTGAAGCTTTCGACTCCCCTAAGGAGTTCCAGTTGGGTCTCTCTGAGTCAGCAGCCACTCAGTGGCAGTGACGTAATATCCAGGAACTCGAACGGACTGGAACATTGTGGGTTGGTTTGCTTTTGTTTTGTACTGTCTAGGAGGCACACGATTCCTCTAAGCCTTTATTTGTGAGGTTCACAAATGGGATTCACAGTCTTGGCGACCCTGGGTGGGGTCCCTATGAATCAGAGGTGACCTGATGGCAATGATTTTAGGGCTGTCGGCATAATTATCTTCTTCGTGGGATTAGGTTATAGCCTCCGTGGTTTGGGTCTTTCCGCAAACATCTTATGTGGAAGTGAACGCCCCATGAGGTGGAGATTTGGAATAACTTGGTTAAACTGAATAATTCTAGTGGGGTTTTTTTTCTTTGTTTTTTCTTTTTCTAGTGGTTTTATGAGTTTCGATAGTTGCATTAAGATTCAGGGGTGAAAATAAACCTCCGTAGGATGCTGCATCTCTTTGAAGCATGGTATTTCAGAGGATTTCTGCATGCTTATTTCAGTCCGCACATGCTCGTCCCATTCTCTTTGGAATCCCCTCCGCACAGACTCTGGAGCCCACCACTTGACCCAGGGAATGTTTGTCAGAGGGAGTTTGCTGCGAGAAACCAGCCGTCATTCTCCAGGCCTTTTCCAGGATCGCTTGACACTCCCTCTTGAGGCAATGGCTCCTGAGATTGGCACACACCGCCCTGGGCTTGGTTTGTCATGTCCCTTCTCGATTGTTTTTTGCTGAGCCATAATCTCTTCCCTGACGCCTGAAGGCCGACGTACCTCAGAAATATGCCCTTGAAGCTTTCCTCTAATAAATTCACTCTACAGAGATCCCAGCTGGTCCCATCTCCTTAATTACCTACCTTCTGGCATTGAACCCTCGCTTACTTCTTCCCCGAGCACCAAACTGTTCATGCAGCTGCCCTCACCTCTGCCCGCGTAGACCAGAGCTATCTCAGTCTTTACATGGCTGCTAGCAGCTCAGCTGAACTGGGGCTTTCAGTTAATCTGGCTCAAAACCTTGGCGTCATTTTTTTATTTTATAATTTCCCTCAGGACTCCTCATTCACTGCACCAGCCTAATCTGTCAGTTTCTACCTTCTAATCTTTCCTCAAACCCCATTATTCTTCATGTTCTAGATTCCTCACACTGTCATCTCTCACCTGGGCAAACAGCATAGACTCCAAACTGTTTCCATTGTTTCTACTCTCTCTTGAAATTCCTACTTCGACTTCCTTTCATGAAGACACTACCCACGGCTCTCAAGAAAATGCAGGCGCACTCACTGCACCCCACAGTGCCCTGGACGCTCTTACCAGTTCCATGTCTCCCCCAAGAACCACACTGTCCTGATGCTCTGTACTCTGGTCATTCGTGTTTACTCTTCTTGCCATCGAACGTTTCTTTTGCTGTTCCCTCTTTCTAGAACGTTCTCCCTATCTGCCTCCTGCAATAGTCAACTGTTGTTCTTCAGAATCGGGTGCCCTGAACTTGGTAGTCACCCAAAAAGTATTGTCATTCACTCATGGCCTTATGTACCATTCACCATTTCATTTTCTATAGTTGTCATCCATGTCTGTAATGCATTGATTAGAATGATCTGTCCTATAAAAAAGCTAAGCTTCCTGGGGCTATATGTGATGATGCTCTCTGCCTTGCTCCAAAGTGTGTGTTCATAATATTCAGTTTAATGTTTAAATGCTTTCCCACCCTTCCTGGTGGCCCTGCTGCCCATACCGAAGCTCAATGAAAACAGACCCATCATGCACAATCTCTCACCATTTGCTATGGGTCTTGCCAATATGGATCTTGCATACAGTTTAGAAACACTTGGTAGGTAAATGGGGTGAGTTCTGGATAAAGCTGACATTATGGTGAGTAAGATTTCAAAGTCGAAGGAGTAGAAGGGCCAACAAAACAGAGGGAACAGTATGAGTATGTTTGAGAGGATAAAAGAGAAGCGGGGCTGTATCCTTTTCCTAAGGTGCCAGAGAGCTGCACAGATCTACCCACCAGAGGTTGGATGGACATTAATATGTCCCTAAGGAAGGCATTTGTGAGTGGACGGACTCCAGAAGTGTCCAGTCCCTACAGGTGTTGTGATGGCAACTGCGTTCGCCGAGCTGGGACTCATAGGAAGCCAGTTGTCAGATTGGGTTGAAGTTGATTATTCTCTCACCACCTTAGTTGCAATATGTTCCTGCCTCTTGTGGTGAATTCTACCTTTAGTATCTTTCCTCCGGGGCATCTTCCAACTGGGCATCCTGCCCATGCTGAGCTTCATGGCGACCCTGTGTTCTTCCCCAATTGATGTGAGGGGACTTGGTTTTGGCTTTCTGGCCCAGGACTGCAATTTATGTGCATGGTGGTTCCTATGGTGTCGGGGTTTGTAGTGATGACAGACACCCCCACGTTCACCTCAGGGTGTTCACACACAATGCCTCTTTTGATTTTCAGCTCTCATTTCCATAGCTCTGGCTTCTTCTTATGTTTTGGTAAGAAATCCTCCTCTACAGCCTCGTGCTTTTACCAGGGTGACCATGGAAAGAGGGGACAACACAAAGAAATACAGACACACTTATGCCTTCACGAGCTCTTTATTTCCCTGTAAAATCCCTTGGAAGACTCTGGAGTAAAACAATCAGCAGAGTCTCTCTGAGAAGACACTGGAAACAAATACATTCATATTGAGTCTCTAATCCCTCAAGCAAGCGCCAACGGGGATCCATGAGGAAAAGGGAGGCAGAGATGATTGTGTGGCTCTCGTCCATCACTCTGTGAGCTCAGAAGTGGGTGACTGTCTGCTCTTTCGCCCAGTCCTGAATGTCTGCTTTGCCGAAGATGAGGTAGAAGATCAGGCCGGATACATTCACAGCAGCCGAAAGCAAGAAGACATGTCTCCAGCCCAATTCTGCATACTGGAGGCAGGAAACTGGATGTCATTAGCTGTCACCTATTCGTGACCCTCATGGCTCCTAACGGTTCTCCCTCCCCACTCTCTATTCCAGCCTCTGTGGGCTTCCTGATGGCTCCTGGCTAGGGTGGGCATATGTCTATCTGAAGGCCATTACTCCGGCTCCTTACCCCTCTGCTGCAACCCTCCTTACCTACAGGCCCATAACCTTCAGCCTGTAGGTAAGGTTGAGTAAATGTTACCTGTAAGCTGGTGCTCTATAAACAGCCTATTCAAAACTGATATTTTACTCGCTTTTTATGTATCCCATCTTAATCTTTTAGCATGTACTACCATCCAATGTACCAGAAATTTTAAAAAATTGATCCTGTCATTTCCCCCCTAGAATACAAGTTTCACCAAGTAAAGGACTTGCTTGATGTTATTTCTTAGCGAGCACGCACTTGGCCCATATGAATGTTTCATGCGTCTCTATTGGCTAGAAGAGGCATGAATGGTGGACGGAGAAGATCATTTTGAGAGTTCCTCTTTTAGGGAACTGTTTCCTTATAGTTTTTCAGTCAGTGGCTGGAAAGGAAGCAACATCGTAGAAGAAAAAAAAGCAGCAACAGCCACTTGATTTCCTGAACTGAGCTTTCTTCATTCTCTATTCATGTTTCTAACTCACTAGTGGAAATCCAGAGGGACCTTAAGAAGGAGGTTCCGGCGAGTGTGCTAGGCTTCTTTCTTCGTGTAAAATCTGCATGAATAAATGTCTTTAGATAAAGGTCAAGGCATCAGGGTGTCTTTACGTAGTATGACAACATAAAAATATGCTGTTGAAGTCCCTTGGTGGAGCCAACCGTTCAGACTCTTGGCTGGCACCCAAAAGGTTTGACTCTGCTCACAGCTACCTTGGGATAAAAGTCTGGTGGCCCCTTTTACAAAACCAGCCATCAAACACGGTGAGACAAAATCCTTCCCTGCCACACAGACGTTAGTTACCATAAGTCACAACCAACTCAACAACAAGAGCTTTGGCTTGGTCTCAGTGCAGATGGAAAGGCTCAGCATAACCAAATGCAACAGCAAGCCACCTTGTCAGAGGAGTTCCTGAACTCAAGATCCACGGACATCAGTGTGAGAGGCAGGCCGCTGGCTACTTCACCGTCATTTACACAGCATCTCACTCCTTCATTCTGTCAATATTGGTTGGTGACCACGTCATCCTGTGTTGCCTGAAATCCTACAGCCCAGGACATGTCTCAGTTCTTATAAGAAATCAGAAAACACAAATTCATCACGCTGATGTCTCCTCTCTGCATACTCTGATCATGTGCCAATTTCCCTAGATGACCAGAGCCTAGGGTAGACACGAGAGCGTTGAGCTTCATTGAGGAAGACAAAAATACCCTTAACCTGATGTCTCACAACCTCGGCAAGTCTGATACATCCTCTTGGCAGTTTCCATCCTAAAGATCATGACACATCACCTCACCTGACTGAGGAAAAATCCAGACACCGTGGGAGAGATGGCCCCAGCGGTGTGTGCAAAGACTTGTGACAGTCCCTTGAGGAAGCCAGTGTATCTATGGGAGAGAAAGAGGGAGACACAATTCTCCTGTGAGCCAAGTGTCTCAGATGGCCGGTTGCAACCCTGGCCTGACCTCAGTTCACTCTCTAAAGATTAACCCTGTTCTGTCTTACCTCGAAAGAACCTTGGAAGCTACACGTGGACATTCTGTCATGTCTGCGCTCTCCCTCTTCAGTTGTACCCTACCCATCACGTTATATAAGCACGGTAAGGTCACATAATGGATTACGTTGGGCTACAAACCCCAAGGTTAGCCATTTGAAACCACCAGTCCATCATCTATGGGACAAAGATGACTTCTCTACGGATTTACTGTCTTGGAAACTCACCCACGGGCCACTTCTCCTCTGGCTGCGAGTCAGAATTGACTGGGTGAGTTTGCAATGTGGGCTCTTGTGAGGTGTAAGCATGCGTCTCCGGGACCCTTCAGTCTATCAGACAGACCCTGTGCTACTGCCCCGTTCATCAACAGAGACAGATTTGTTTCTGTTACTTCTCGTGTCACATTTTCATCTGAGTGAGCGAGCTGGAACAATACGACATTTCTGTAAGGATAAGACAAAGAGGTCCCTACCGAGGAGCAATATCCAGGATGTTAACCAAGGCTCCCGAGTCACAGAGGCTGCTGAGGCCCGGAGAGAGGACCAGGAGGGCCACGGTGGCACTGGCGCTGGATCTGACCCAGTACAGGGAGACCATGAGCATGGAAGGGAGGAGAGATCCTGCGGGGAAGGGCAGATTCAGAGTAAACAGGGGCATCGCTCGATATTCCACATCCACTCCCATAATTGGCTCGCTCCTTACCGATGGCAGTGAAGAGCTTCCTTATGGTGATAAGTCTGAGGATTTTTCTGGAGAGGAGAAAATCTGCCAAGAGCCCTCCGAGAATAATGCAAATGAAGCCCGATATAAACGGCAGGGCAGACACGATTCCACTCTGAAAACCAGAGAGGAGGTGAGACAGTTTTTCGTCCCCAATTCACCCGGACCCAGAATGATGCCTGGACTGATTATCCACACCTATGATTTTCCCTTCGTGCCCATCACTTTTCATACAAATCCACTGCTGTTGTCTTGAATCAGTGCCTGGAGAGAAAAATGCATATGACTCTATTTGTATTTGAAGATGACTAATGCACTTTTCAAGGGAGAGATAAGTCTTTCTACGCTCATAAACAGTTACAGGCTTGGAAACTTACTGGGGCACTTCTAGCCTGTCCTTGGTTCTGTCCTGCTGAGTCAGAATTGATTGGGTGGAGAGCGGTGAATTTGGACTTTTCGCATCTAGAGAGCACTTAGAAATAGTTATTAATAAGACTCAATGCAGCGGAAAAGTAGACAAAGAATATGAACGGATAATTTAGAGAAAAGAAAACTGAATGGCTGATAAACTATTGAAACCTGGTCACACAAACGCAGAGTGAAACTACAGTTAGATATAAATTTATAAATTGTCATGGAACTGATTGGCAAAATTTTAAATATGGTTAGCATGTTTGTGCTGCTGTTCTCGGGAAATGGGTCCTCTCGATTATGAGCAGGCATCTGTGGATGGGATCCTCCAAAAGTATACAGTGAACCATCGTTTATCGCGGTTAATCGGTTCTAGACCCTACCGTGATAATTAAATTCCGCGAAGTAGGATTCCTTATTTGTAAATCAAATATTTTCGTAGTTAGAGCATAGAGGACATGAAAAAACACCCTTTAGTCACCAT